TTTAAATCTCAAATATTCTCACCCATATGTGGGAGTAAATATTAAAACAATTTATTTCATGGAGACCAACAGGAGAATGATGGTTACCAGAGGCTGTGAAAGGCATTGGGGGGGGGGGTTAAAGTGGGGATGGTGATGATTGCAAACATGTAGTTAGAATGAATAACACTCAATGGCATGGCATGGCAATGTGACCACAAGCAACAGTAAGCTAGGGTATTCTGTGAAGTAACTGCAGGAGAGGGGCTGGAATGTGTCCCCAGAGCAAAGAAGTAGTAAATGCTTGAGGTGGTAGATACCCCAATTATCCTGATGTGATTAGTTCACATTGTATGACTGTATGAAAACACCACATGCACCCTATAAAGATAAACAACTACTACTATTGTAGTAGTAGCAGTAGGATAGGGTTACCCATAATAATTAAAATAGTCTTGTGATAGTCTTTAACTTACCTGGAGATAACTGGACACAGCTTACACTGCCTCATACAACCAGTGTCCCTGTCATTGATAAGAAGTGAATCCTGGGAGGCACTGACAGTGTATAGTGCTATATAGATATTAGGTCATTTCACTTACCATTTTAAATGTGCTGAAAAAATAAGTCCAACGTGAGGGAAATAAACCATGTTCTGTACCTCATCTTTGAACAACAGTTTTTTAGTAATGAGTATAAGAAAATTCTAGATCTTACTTTCTTCCTCATAGGAAAAAATCCAAGTCTTTGCATGATTGCTGTGCACATATGACATGCCAGGCAGGAAGCAGGTCTTTGCAGAAGGGCACATTTGCAAAGAGGAGGGCACTTCCCATAGGCACTTGCATCCCAAGGCACCCAAGGAGCATGAACCCCCCCACACACATTGGGCGCCTCCATTTCCTGGCTGGTCTGGTCCACCCTGGCCACTGGTGGCCTGGCAGGAGAAGCATAGAAGGCACAGGTCTCCACTGTGGCTGGTCTGAGCCTAGCCCAAATAGAAGGGGTACAGCTCAGAGCTGAAGAGCCCACTGCCTTAGCTGTGTGACTTAGGAGATAGGAAACATGCACTTTCCCCACCGGCAGGATGGCTGTTGTGAGGATGACAGTCTACGGAACACCAGATCCTCACCGAGTGGGAGTGAGGGTCAGCATGCGGCTGGGCCCACCTCATGTCAGCCAATCCCCTTCCAAACAAGCTACTACACTAAACAAAATGTTAAGATCTACCACGAAACTGTCAAATGTATTCACAGCAAGACTTCTAATGGAATAATGACAATATAGATGAACTTACATACACACTCTCCTTTCCAGCCTTCTGTTAATGGAGGGAAAGTGAGTGAGGGGAGAAAGAACTTGAAATGTGCACTCAATATTATCACCCTCCTCCCTGTTCCTGTCACCTGGAGAAGGCCCCCACCCTGGCCTGTGACAGAAACAGGGAGGACATTGGGCGTGGCTCATCCACCGTGTCTTAGTGTAGGCACTGTTCAGAGGGCAAACAACTTCTGCACTCTGTCTCCTACAACAAAACATGCCTCTGTTCTCAATCTTCCCTCTCTCTATATATATCTATTTTTTAAGAGACAAAGTCCCACTTCATTGCCTTTGGTAGAGTGCTGTAGTATCACAGCTCACAGCAACCTCCAACTCTTGGCCTTAGGCAATTCTTTTCCCTCAGGCTCCTGAGTAGCTGGGACTATAGGTGCCTGCCATAACACCTGGCTATTTTTTGAGGCAGTTTGGCCTGGGCTGGGTTCGAACCCACCACCCTTGGTATATGGGGCTGGCGCCCTACCCACTGAGCCACAGGTGCCACCCCAATCTTCCCTCAATAGTTTCTGCGTCTCTGTTAACAATGAGTCTCATTATTTGAGGCACCATGAGATAGGCCTGGTGAGACCTATGGGAGTGCCTGGCAGCACCATGCCCACTCAGGTGGTCCTCTCAGTGACAAGCAACAGCAGCCTTAGCCACATGCTTGTGCCTCCAGAACACTGGAACCCCCCCCCCTTAGATTTCACCCTTAGATGTGCTTGTTAGGTTAACAGGCTCCTTCCTGAGCTAAGGAAACCAAAGCACACGGTGGCAACTGATGGCTCTGCAAGGATCACCCCTCAGGAACTTGCCTCATCAGAGCCAACAATCCCTTGGCCAAAGGTACCCCTGGATCCTGTTAATGGGTTTAGTGTTTAGTAAGTGGTGTCCTCTCAGAGGCTGGCACATTGCTGGGGCTACTCTGAGGACAAGGCATAGGAAGCATTAACACAACTGGAACCAGTGTGTTAATGCTCCTAATCCAGTGAGGTGTATGGCTTCATGTTAAAACAGGCTTTTAGAGAACACACATTTGCTATACTGACCTGGAAAAGTCCACTCAGAGTACTTCTGTAATACTGCAATAACTTCTGCACCATACTTTTCCAGTTTGTCTTCAGTAACACCATCAATTTGAAGCAAAACCTCCGGGTCAGAAGATAAAGACTCTATATAGGCATAAAATTAGGCATCTAAATTAGCACCCACAGAAAGTCCACTGAACTCATTCTCATCCAGGATGTGTCTGTTAAGTGCCAACTAACTACAGAGCATGGGGCCATGGGCTAGTCTTCTAAAAGGCAGAGTCAGCCAATCAGAGGTGGCAGGTGGGCCCAGAGGGCAGGAATCAACCACTGGCCAAGGGAAGCCAGAGGCCGGGACCCATGCAATGGGCTCACAGTGGGCAGGTCCCACTATGCCTACCGCTCCTACCTCTAAGGCTTGTCCTGCTGCAACACTGAGGCAGCCTCTCTGCTGGGAACATGACATTTCTGTTCAGCTCCAACCTCTTCCCTGCGCACCAGATGTACATGCCCCACCCAAGAAGAAATAACCGAACTGTTTCCTATAGCCCAAACCTTTCTTCCTCCAGGACAGCCTCAGAATCTTCTGTATAGAGATGGCACATCCTGAAGCTACACAAGCCTGTCACTGAAAGGGCCCTCTGGCTGATCTATGCAAACTGGGAGTCTGGTGGGAGCCACTGCGGAAGCGAGGATGGCATGAACCAGAAGGGAGGAGTGGGGACACAGAGGAGAGATTTGCGTCCAGAGGACTTAGACGCACTGGCTACAGGGAGGGAGGAAGAACCCAGGCCTGTGCCTTTGACTTGAGCAAAGGGTGGGTTTCAAATCCTTTTCAATCTGTGATTCTCTCAGCCTCCCAAACTTAGAGGAAAAGCATCAGACTAGGGGATAGAAAAGGTTGATGAAGGGGATTAGTAGAAGATAACATGGGAGAGGCAAGAAGAAATGTAGACCCTTGACCGAATTTGTGGTTTCCCAACACTTGGTGTAGAAACTTGGAAAACCAAATTTGTACTTTACTTAGAGAGCTATTATATTAATATACTTTTTTTGTAAGATTAAAATGTACATCAGGGCCAGTTGGGATGGCTCATGCCTGTAATCCCAGCATTCTGGGAGGCTGAGATGGATGAATTGTTGAAGCTCAGAAGTTAGAGACAAGCCTGAGCAAGAGCCAGATCCTGTCTCCAAAAGCAGCCAGGTGTGTTCAGCTACTTGGGAGGCTGAGGCAGGAGAATCACTTGAGATCAAGAGTTTGAGGTTGCTATGAGTTATGACACCATGGCACTCTACCCAGGGTGACAGAGTAAGACTCTGTCTCAAAAATATAAAATGTGGCCTGGCGCCTGTAGCTCAAGTGGCTAAGGTGCCAGCCACATACACCCAAGGTGGTGGGTTCGAATCCAGCCTGGGCCCACCAAACAACAATGACGGCGGCAACCAAAAAATAGTCGGGCGTTGTGGCGGGTGCCTGCGGTCCCAGCTACTCGGGAGGCGGAGGCAGGAGACTCACTTGAGCTCAGGAGTTGGAGGTTGCTATGAGCTGTGATGCCATTGCATTCTACCCAGGGGGAAAGCTTGAGGCTCCTGTCTCAAAAAAAAAAAAAAAAAAAAAAAAAAAAAAATATATATATATATATATAATGTGCATCAGGCTGGGAGTTGTGGCTCTTGCCTGTAATCTCAGTACTTTGGGAGGCCAAGGTGGGAGAATGGCTTGAGGCCAGTTGTTTGAAACAAGCCTGAACAACAGCATAGCAAGACCCTGTGTCTAAAAAAAAAGAAAAAGAAAAGAAAGGAGGTACGGATATGTGGCATACACTGATAGTCCTAGCTACTTGGAGGCTGAGGTGGGACAATGGCTTAAGGGGCTCAAGGTTGTGATTGTGCCTCCGCACTCCAGCCTGGGTCGACTTTGGCAATTATAAGACGTGTTCAAAGTGGTGACCATCAGTGTCCAGACACTTCTGATTATGGCGCAAGTAAAGTGATAATGTAGATAACAGCTCTTAAAATGTGCATACATTTTTTGGCACCCCCAGTATTAGACTAGGTGCATGGCTCATACCTATAATCCTAGCACTTTGGGAGACCAAGGTGGGAGAGCCACTTGAGACCAGCCTGGGCAACACAGGAGGTGACATTATCCTTACAAAAACGAAAGTACATCATGTTCACAACTGGGAGGTGAGGAAACTAATTAGGGAACTGCACTAATAGCCTACAAACAAAATAAAATATTTCATTGATTCTAAGACACACACCTTCTCACATTTTACCATTACTGAAATCAGACATGTTTTATAATTGCTCACGGCCAAATGGCCACTGCCCTGTGGTGTTGCTGTCTGTGAGAACTCAGTCACAGCCCTGAGTCCTGTCAGCATGTCAACAGAGCCACTGCACTGTGGTCACCTCCCATGTTAAGTCTACCACACGACATGTCTTCAAAAAGACCATACTATGATCAGCAGTAAAAAAGTGACTGGGAATGCAGAAAAGCTCTGAAAGAACGTAATGAGAAATAAATCTGGCATTAAAAAAGCACGATCTGGCAGTGCCTGTGGCTCAAGCGGCTAAGGCGCCAGCCACATACACCTGAGCTGGTGGGTTCGAATCCAGCCTGGGTCCGCCAAACAACAATGATGGCTGCAACCAAAAAACAGCTGGGCATTGTGGTGGGCGCCAGCTACTTGGGAGGTGGAGGCAGGAGAATCGCTTGAGCCCAGGAGTTGGAGGTTGCTGTGAGCTGTGATGCCATGCACTCTACCCAGGGTGACAGCCTGAGGCTCTGTCTCAAAAAAAAAAAAAAAAAAAAAAAAAAAGAAAGAAAGCATGATCTATCATTGAGGGAATGACCACAATTTCAGTTTCTTATAAACAACAACCAAGTGCTTCACATGACCTAAAAAAGATGCCCAAGTAGACAAAGCAGTATGACACTCGTGTCACTGGGATGTGTACTCTCCTGTTGACACCTGGTATTGTCAAGAGAGCACCACCATCAAGACAGAACTGGTGGCAGGGGGTTTGATTAGAATCCTGGGGCAAAAAATACTCTACAAATGCAGTATGACTAATGTGATGTTAGTGGTAACACCAGGAGAAATAAGGACAGCTGAGTCAAAAGTGATGCAGTGTCAGACTTCAAATGTGAACTTTTGTAAGTACCTAAATTAATTTACTTTAGTTAAGTGCATTTTTCATATATGCACAGAGATGTTATGACAAAAAGCTTTGTTTAAATAAGTCAAAAACAATTCCTCCAATAAAGGCACCATATCACAGTTTAATTAGTAGAATGTTTTCTTTGTTAATAGTCCATAAAATAATAGCATCTTGAAACAGCTGGCATCTTATAGTCAATGAAATATTGTAGGGACCTACATAACAAGAGTGGGGACGGGAGAGAAGGTGATGATTATAAAACTTCATGGAGGGAGAATGTGGATGAGGATGTGCATGCCAGTCAACTCTGTGCACAGTTATTTTCCAGGTACTCTGCTATTGAAATCCTGGGGTAAGCTATCTGTCCACAGAAATAAATAAGATTGGCAAGTATTTATTAGCCAAAGATGTAGCACTGTGCCAGATCGGAGTTCAAAGAAGCATAAAACACAGTCTCTTCCCATAAGAAACTTAGCTCTTCTTCATGAAGTCAGAGGCACATACATGGCTCAGTGCTGTAAGTAGGCAGATGATCAGCAAAGTAATGCAGTGGCATCTGGTTTAGAAATCATGATTACCCATATCCTAATATCCAGCTTTAGAGGAAATAATAAAATTAAAATATATCTGAATAACAAAGTACTATATGTGGAGGGTGCCAAAAAATGTGTAATACACATTTTAAAAGATGTTATCTATGTGTTACTTTTCTTTTTTCTTTTTTTTTTTTTTTTTGAGACAGAGCCTCAAGCTGTCCCCCTGGGTAGAGTGCCGTGGTATTACAGCTCACAGCAACCTCCAACTCCTGGGCTCCAGCGAGTCTCCTGCCTCTGCCTCCCAAGTAGCTGGGACTACAGGTGCCGGCCACAATGCCTGGCTATTTTTTTTTGGTTGCAGCCATCATTGTTGTTTGGCGGGTCCGGGCTGGGGATTCAAACCCGCCACCTTAGGTGTATGTCGCTGGCGCCTTAGCCGGTTGAGCTATAGGCGCCGAGCCTATGTGTTACTTTTCAAAGTTGAGTTGAAGGTGCTGTTACTGGCCAAGTGCACCCAGATAAGCTGCACATATCCATTTTACCTGCAATTCATATGCTTTTGGGGAATGATAGACTTTTACATTCATCACAATCTCTTAAAATGTATATCATTTTTTGATGCCCTCCATATATCTTAAAGATTTATATTTTATCTCAAGAATGAGTTTAATTATTTCCCTGAACTTTAAATCCCAAGATCAAATAAAAATAATAAAAATAACTGAGATAAGGTCATTACTTAAAAAGTTTCTGAGCAAGATCAACTGTTGGCCTATTAACTTGGGTCATGTGATGAGACACACATGTACCTACCTGCAAGCTTCTTCAGAGTGACAATATTAAAAATATTGAAGTAATGGACACCAAAAACTTTGCCCAGAGACTTGCAGACTTCTGTGAGTTCTCCAAGACATTTCTTAACCATCTCTTCCCTCTGAGATACTTTTGCTACTAAAGCTTTTTGTTTTTTCACACTGCTGGAATTTTCCGTCTCCATGAAGTCTACCTTTTTGAGAGATAAATAAATCACAGGCTATATGCACACTTATACTCAAACAGGGGCTTTATTTAATGCTTAATTCTGTATTTCTTTCTTTATTTTTGAGACAGAGCCTCAAGCTGTCGCCCTGGGTAGAGTGCTGTGGCATCACAGCTCACAGCAACCTCTAACTCCTGGGCTTAAGCGATTCTCTTGCCTCAGCCTCCCCAGTAGCTGGCACTACAGGCGCCTGCCACAACACCTGGCTATTTTTTGGTTGCAGCCGTCATAGTTGTGTGGTAGGCCTGGGCTGGATTCGAACTCACCAGCTCAGGTGTATGTGGCTGACGCCTTAGCCGCTTGAGCCACAGGCGCCGAGCCTCTGTATTTATTTATTTTTTGAGAAAGAGTTTCACTATGTTGCCCTGGGTAGAGTGCCGTAGCATCACAGCTCATAGCAACCTCAAACTCTTGGGCTTAAGTGATTCTCTTATTTCAGCCTCCTAAGTAGCTGGGACTACAGACGCTCGCCACAACACCTGGCTGTTTCTTTTGTTGTAGTTGTCATTGATGTTTAGTAAGCCTGGGCTGGGTTCAAACCCATTAGGTCTGGTGTATGTGGCCGGTGCCCTAACATATTTCTGTTCTGCCAAGTAGCCACTGAGGACCTTGGGAACAGGGATGTGGATGATCCATCTCTATATACCCAGCGCAGAATGACCTCTTGGTAAATTTTTTCCCAATTAATTTATGAAGATTTAGTAATCTGATAAACCATTAAATTCATTTTGACAGATGTCATATTACTTGGGCTGAATGTTATGATATTTTTACAAATTAAGAAGAATAGGGCTCTGCGCCCATAGCATAGTGGTTATAGCGCCAGCCACATACACCGAGGCTGATGGCTTTGAACCCAGCCCGGGCCAGCTAAACGACAACTGTAATAAAAAATATCTGGGCGTTGTGGTGGGCACCTATAGTCCCAGCTATTTGGAAGGCTGAGGCAAGATAACTGCTTAAGCCCAAGAATTTGAGGTTGCTGTGAGCTGTGACGCCATAGCACTCTACTGAGGGCAACATAGTAAGACTTTGTCTTAAAAAAAAAAAAGAATAGAATATGTTCATATAAGACAGTATATATAAATTCAGTATCTCGAAGTTTGGAACAGATACACTATACTTTGAAAAAGACACTACTTTGCAAAATATATTCTGATCCACTCACTGTAAGATGATAAAGTAAACATTTAAAATCCGTACCTTTAAATGTCCACTCAGTACAGTTTGGGCTTTATCTCCAGGCATAATATAAGCAATTGCTTGGTCATTGGCATTGATATACAAGTCTTCATCTAAAATCTTGTCAAGTATCAACTTTTTAAAAAGTCTTTCGGCATTGTGTCGTGAATAAGCAGATCCCTTTCCAAATATACCCAACTGAATTTTTGCACTCTTACTCCCTGGACAAAAGGTACAAGAGGTAAGATGAGTAAATGCAGGTGCATCACCACCCTCAAACAGAAGAGGTCCAAGTCATGTATGCACAGGACAGACAGATCACCTGTCCACAGATGGACATGTATGCCACTAATAGATACTCATTTCTGCAATATGAGAATTATCTGAGGAGAACCATAAAATTTTATGATTGTATGTTCTTTTCCTCATCTTTTTAGAACATACATTGACCAACAGCAGCAAAATTAAGTTTCTATTTCTTTTTTTTTTTTTTTTTTTTTAATTATTGGGGATTTATTGAGGGTACAAAGAACCAGGTTACATTAATTGCATTTGTTAGGTAAAGTCCCTCTTATAATTGTATCCTGCCCCCAAAAGGTGTGTTGTACACTGTGACTCCCCCTTCCCTCTGCTCCTTCCTTTCACCTCCCTCCCTCCCTCCCTCCTTCCCTTTCTTTGCTCTCCCTGCTCTCCCCTTCCCCTGGCTCCAACCATGTGCCAGGTCATCAACTGTCCTCATATGAGAATTGAGTACATAGGATTCTTGCTTCTCCATTCTTTTTTTTTAGAGACAGAGTCTCACTTGGTCACCCTCGGTAGAGTACCGTGGTGTCAGCTCACAGCAGCCTCCAGCACTTGGGCTTAGGTGATTCTCTTGCTTCAGCCTCCCGAGTAGCTGGGACTATAGGCGCCCATCATGACAACCAGCTATTTTTTTGTTGCAGTTTGGCCAGGGCTGGGTTTGAAACCACCACGGTCAGGATATGGGGCCGGTGCCCTACTCATTGAGCCACAGGCACTACCCTTGCTTCTCCATTCTTGTGATGCTTTACTAAGAATAATGTGCTTCACTTCTATCCAGGTTAATAGAAAGGCTGTAAAGTCTCCATCTTTTTTAATGGCTGAACAGTATTCCATGGTATACATTTACCACAGCTTGTTAATCCATTCCTGGGTTGGTGGGCTAAAGGCTGTTTCCATATTTTGGCGACTATAAATTGGGCTTTTTTTTTTTTTGAGACAATTTCACTCTGCCCTGGGTAGAGTGCCGTCGCAACATAGCTCACAACAACCTCAAAATCTTGACCTTAAGCTATCCTCCTGTCTCAGCCTCCTGAGTAGCTGGGACTACAGGTGCTCTCCACATCATCCAGCTAATTTTCCTATTTTTAGTCAAGACAGGGTCTTGTTCTTGCTCAGGATGGTTTCAAACTCCTAAACTCAAGGGAACCTCCTGCCTTGGCCTCCTAGATTGCTGGGGTTATACGTGTGAGCCACTGCACTCAGCTAGTTTATCATTTTAAAACATTGGATTGTTAGCTTATAAAAAAGCTTATAAAAAACCTTTGCTTTAATATGATTAAAGCAAAGAAATAAAAGAAACTTTACATAAACTGTAATAACTTTGTACCACTGTGCTATGTATATATTAGGATAATTATGCTTTATCTAGTCACAAAAAATTTTTGACAATCAGTTTTATAAATCCTGCCTCTGGTCCTGATTATCGAAACTGCTACTAGTTTGTAATCCAGGTATTTAAGTCTATACTGTTTTGGCATCCTCACGCAGCCCTATATGCTGCTCAAGGAGAGAGGTGTGTGTACACTTCCTTCTTTCTCCTGCCAGCTGAGAGTCACAGTGGGCTAGATTCTGTTTCCTATCCAAGCTGTTGTAATTACTGATGACTTCATCATAAACACAATTTTATTATAACAATTTATTTAATAAGCCTTGTCACATTTATGATAAGAATTAATGGTTATTATATAAAGCTTTAGCTTACATTTATTTAGTTCCCCAAAAATACATTATTGTAAATTTCAAGTGGCTCCTCACCACATACACTGCACTGTTCAGATTTCTCTTTAAGTGATTTGTGTTGCTCAGAGTCCACACTACAGAGTCAGACTTTGACCTTTGGTTTGGGTGGTGTGAACAAATCCCACATGCTGAGGAAGACTAAGAAAGCACAATAAAACAGTTTTCTCAAAAACATGTAAGAGCTAACAAGAAACTGAAAAACTTGTCAGAAAACTGACCTATTATGAGGTTGCTGCAAAAGTAATTGTGGTTTTTGCATTGTTGAAACTTGTTTGGTACCGAAATACATTCTTAAATAAATATTGCTATGCTATACATAATTTTACTGTGCATTTCTCACTTTTTTTTGCTAATGACTTATTACTTGCTGTTTATTTTATATTTATTTTGGACTACGGAAATTATATTAGATACAAAGCAAATTCACTTTTCTTATTCAAGCTCAAAATGGCTGTAAAGCAGTAGAGACATCAGGGACAAATTGGCCCAGGCCTTGCTAAGGAGTGTGCAGGGCAGTGGGGCTCAGAAGTTTCTGCAGAGGAGACGAGAGCCTTGAAGACGAGGAGCACAGTGGTGGCCAATGGAAGTTGACAATGACCAGCTAAGCTGATCCTCTGACAACCACAGGAAAAGGTGCTGAAGGACTCAACATCAACCATTCTTCAGTGAGTCAGTGTTTGAAGCAAATTGAAAGCTCATTAAGTGTGTGCCTCATGTTGACCGAAAACTTGAGCAATTGCTATTTTCAAAAGTTGTCTTCTGGCTTGGTGCCCGTAGCACAGTGGTTATGGTGCCAACCATATACACCAAAGGTGACGGGTTCAAACCCAGCCTGGGCCAGCTAACCAACAATGACAACCGCAACAAAAAATAGCCAGGCGTTGTGGTGGGTGCCTGTAGTCCCAGCTACTTGGGAGGCTGAGGAAGAGAATTGCTTGAACCCAAGAGCTGGAGGTTGCTGTGAGCTGTGGGACTCCATCTCAAAAACAAAACAAAACAAACTCCACAAATGTCATCGTCTCTTACTCTGTGCAACAATGAACTACTTCTCAATGAGATCATGACATGCAATGAAAAGTGGATTTTATATGACAGCCGGAGATGACCAGCTCAGTGGTTGGACCCCAAGGACCAAAGCACTTCCCAAAGCCAACTAGGCATCAAAAAAAGGTCATGGTCAGTACAGGGTGGTCTGCTGCCAATCTGCTCCACTAATGAGTTCTGAGTCCCAGGGAAACCATCACATCTACTGAGGAAGACTAAGAAAGCACAATAAAACAGTTTTCTCAAAACCCTGTGTGATGCTCACCACAACAATGAGAGGCACTGACAATTGCACCACCTGCGGCTGGCACTGGTCGGCAGAAGGGCAGTTTTCCCCACAACCACACCCCAACACATGCTGCACAACCAACACTATCAAAGTTGAACAATTTGGGCTACAAAGTTTTGCCTCATCCGCCATATTCACCTGATCTCTCATCAGTGGACTATATTTCTTCAAGCATCTTGACAATTTTTTGCAGGGAAAATGCTTCCACAACCAGCAGGGTGCAGAAAATGCTTCCCAAATGTTCTTGTATAGGAAGAAACAAACTTATTTCTTGTTGGCAACAATGTGTTGATTATAATAGTACTTATTTAGACTACTGAAGATGTGTTTGAGCCTAGTTAGAATGATTTAAAACTCATGGTCCCAGGCCAAGTGTAGTCAGTGACTCACATCCGTAATCCCGGGAGGCTAAGGCAGGTGGATTGCTTGAACTCAGACCTGCCTGAGCAAGAATGAGACCCCAATTCTATTTAAAAATAGAAAAATTAGCCGGGCACCTGGCTAATTGTGACAGGCACCTGTAGTCCCAGCTACTCGGGAGGCTGAGGCAAGAGGATAACTTAAGCCCAAGAGTTTGAGGCTGCTGTGAGATATGAGGCCATGGCACTCTACCAAGGATGATAGAGTGAGACTCTATCTCAAAAGAAATAAAAATAAAAATAATAAAATAAAATGAGTGGTCCGGCTCGGTGCCTGTGGCTCAAGCGGCTAAGGCACCAGCCACATACACCTAAGGTGGTGGGTTCGAATCCCCAGCCTGGGCCCGCCAAGCAACAATGATGACTGCAACCAAAAAATGGCTGGGCGTGGCGGGCACCTGTAGTCCCAGCTACTTGGGAGGCTGAGGCAGGAGACTCGCTTGAGCCCAGGAGTTGGAGGTTGCTGTGAGCTGTGATGCCATGGCACTCTACCCAGGGGGATAGCTTGAGGCTCTGTCTCAAAAAAAATAAAAAAAATAAATAAAAATAAAAAAAAATGTGTGGTCCAAAATCCCAATTACTTTTGCCCAAACCTGAGAGTAATCTCTGTAAGAATCTACATGAAAAGTGGAATCAAAGATGTAATCAAAGGTTTATTTAATCATATAACTAATAATTCATATTGTTTTATAATAGAAAAATATGTACTAAAATAACACTAGACTTTTAAGAAAATTCTTATATTTTGCTAAATAAAAATGATATAATCTACACCTATAATATGATAAATATGTGATTGTGAAGAAACATACTAAACATTAGCAGTCTTTTCTGGAGTTATTTGCATTTTTCAGTTTTCTTTTTTCTATCTATCTATAGTGGGGGTCACTGTAGCTCACTGCAGCCTCCCTCAGGCTCCCAAAGCACTGGGATTTCAGGTGGGAGCCACTGTGCCCCGTCTGCATTGCAATGAAGAATGATCATGTAGAAAATGAGAAAACCATCTTCCTATTATAACCTAGGCTATTTATTAAAAAAAAGAATGAAACTATTTATTGTCCATTATATGTTTTTAATTAGAATACATGTATATGGGGAAAAACAAAATATAGTATGGAAAGGCTTATAATAAAAGCAGCATTCCTCTGCCTCACCTTCCCCCTTCCAAGTTGCACTCTCTTCCCCAGTGTAAATACTTTTTAAATCATTTGTGTTTTCAGCTCCTCTGGTGGTTATTTGTACATAAAACTTGGAACCCTGTAGTCCTCCCACCAGCCTGACATTTAACTTCCCAAGGCAGTTATCTCATTTATGCCACCCCCTCCTACTGCCCTTCCTCAATTTTGCTAGTTATATACTATTGGATCATCTATTGATTATATGTGTAACTCTAGGTAAAACTTTTCACCCCATCCCTCCCCACTAG